TGGAGAGGTGGGTTCACAACTCTGCGCTGAAGAGACGGGCTTTTATTGTTCCTCAGATGCTGACCAAGGGTAAACTTGCGGGTGCGAAGAGCGGTTCCTGGCGAGAGATTCGCATTCAAGTTGACGTACCAGTTATGAATGCAAGTCCCAATCGCTCGTCCTTTAGCCCAGTTTAGGTTCTCATGCGTTTGTGACGCCGTGCACCTAGATACTTGCTGCAGTGCGGTTACGCCTTATCCCGACACTGTTTTCAGCAAACTCAGAGTCCTCGGACCAAATGCCTCCGCTATACGCCGGGCAACCTATTCCAGCTTTATTATCAATTAAGACCTCTTTCCACTGGGGGAAAAGACAGCATGCAAGTCGTAAATCATATCAGATGCGATTTGACATTCAAGAGATGGTGCGAGACTGGCTCATAAGTGGGCGAAAACGCGGGGACTTTGAAGCTGAGGTACGTTTACATCTGTATGGCCAACTTTTGAAGGCTGAAAGGCTAAATGACGGATCATGGAACTACTTAGGACGAGTCGACGTACACAGTGGCGATAACACTGATTGCGCTGCATCATGGCGAGCTATCGTTACCCAAAGTGGTTGTTTCCCCCATGCCTCTGCGGGGGAAATGACTATGGGATCATTATCCCTTCCTAATATCGAGGCACACCAGGTACATGGAGCAGAAAAGGTACTCATTCTTCCCAGAGGTGGCCGGAGTACATTTATCGTTGGAATGGGAGAGGGATTATCAGTAGAGTAAGTAGATATTATGTAAGGAAATGACCAGGTCCAAGATGGTCCCAGGAACACACAACACACACGATGTCGTTGTCGTTGTCTAGAGAGCGAAACTCGGAGGAAATAACCTCATTTCAAAATTTAAACCCATCTTTCAAATCACTTGGGCTTATAGACCCTCTTCTGGAGGCAATAGAGCAGCTTGACTACAAAACTCCAACCGATATTCAAGTCGAGGCCCTACCACCTGCTCTTGAAGGGCGAGACATCATCGGTGTAGCCTCCACTGGCTCCGGGAAGACAGCAGCCTTTGCATTACCCATTCTTCAAAAGCTTTGGGATGAACCCAAAGGTCTCTTTGCTTGCGTGCTTGCACCGACGCGCGAATTAGCCTACCAGATCTCCCAGCAATTTGAAGCCCTCGGTTCAGCTATGGGCGTCCGCTGCACCGTCCTCGTAGGTGGAATGGATATGGTAACGCAATCAATTGCACTGGCCAAGAAGCCACATATCGTCGTGGCGACCCCTGGGAGACTCAAGGACCACCTAGAGAATACGAAGGGGTTTAGTCTGCGCGGTCTCAAATTTCTGGTGAGCAGTACTTGCTCAGCTCGTCGTACGGCGAGCGCAGTTAGCTGAGCTATCCTCAGGTCCTAGACGAGGCAGATCGCCTTTTGGACATGGACTTTGGACCAGATATCGATGGCATTCTCAAAGCTATTCCGAAGGAACGAACCACGTATTTATTTTCGGCAACGATGACTACCAAAGTTGCCAAATTGCAGCGTGCAAGCTTATCAAACCCTGTCCGAGTTGAAGTATCTACAAAGTAAGGGTACTTACCGCACACGCAATAGATACTCTACAATCTGATAACCACCCCGCAGGTATTCTACGGTGTCCACCTTGTGCAGTACTATCTTTTCGTACCCCTGTCACAAAAGGACGTCCATCTCGTCTACCTTGCTAATTCCCTAGCTCAAAATTCTATTATGATCTTTACCCGGACAGTTCATGATGCTCAGAGGTAAGTCTACCTTGGATGAGTGGACATGCGGAATACAATATTCAATCAGGCTCTCCATTGTGTTGCGCAATTTGGGCTTCGCAGCAATCCCCCTTCATGGCCAGCTGAGCCAAAGTCAGCGTTTAGGCTCTCTCAACAAATTCCAGAGCGGATCCAGAAAGATTTTAGTGGCACAGATGTGGCTAGCCGGTACGTGCTGTGCATATGTACCATGTGTGGTTCACCAAAAACACGAAACTTCTCAGTGGTCTCGACATTCCGACGGTGGACATCGTCATCAACTTTGATATCCCCACACATTCGAAAGACTACATCCACCGGGTTGGCCGCACAGCCCGCGCTGGGCGTGCGGGAAAATCTATCACGCTCGTCACGCAATACGATGTTGAATTAATCCAGCGCATCGAAACCGTAATTGGGAAGAAGATGGACCTCTGGCCTACAGAAAAGGACGAAATAGCACTGTTGCGTGAACGGGTAGAGGAAGCGTGTCGACTAACCGCCACGGAGCTCAGGGAAGAAGGCGGGAAGGGACATCGGAAGCGGAGAAGAGGTGGTAGGGAGGATAAAGATGTCAGGGATCGGGATGACGATGTGATTCAGGCTGGTATGCCAACAAAAAAAAAGAAAAGTAAGAGGTAGACTCGATCGCAAGTTCCCTACCTCCCGTGTATCGCCGTATTGTTTGCATCTTAGTTTATGAACATGACATCTGAGCGAAGGACGTATTTTGTGCCATTTCGAACCTCAGAGCCCTCATGGAGGAGACACTCATTACCATGTCTAGGAGAAGAATTCAGGTGTCACAAAATGACGCGCAAAAAGCAGAGCAAGTTGTAGACGAACCTATGAAGAAGGGCCGTGCCACGTATTAGCGGTACAATCATGGCTTCCGAGGTTTTTGCTTTACTGCTGGGGTAAAAAATGGTCTACCAGATACTAAGCAGAGGCTCTTGAAAGGAGATCCCGACATACGCACCTGGCCACCATGCACACCATCTTCGACTCCAGTGAGATATATGAGTAATGTCCATTCCGAGATTGCACCCGTCTTAGCATCGCGCACAGAATCGTCATAGTGGGGGTTGAAACGCTGAGATGGTGTATATTTGTAAAGCCGAATGTTCGAGTTGAGTGAATGAGCAGGGCGAGTACCCTTATCTGGCTGCTTCATGGAGGCAGGATACGGAAACAAAGGAAGATGGGGACGCAATATAGCCCATAGGCAATCTGCAAATTCTGGAGAAGAGATGGAAACTCTGTCTGTAGCGATGCCGAGCTCAGGCGTCCACCATCGGCGAGACGAGTGAGTCAATGTTTGAAGGCTTACAGTTGACCCTATCTGCCTCCCCTCCCCTCCGTTTCTTGGGTAGAGTCAGTTCCAGAGGCTGGCTATCAATAAAGTCGACAAAATTCCGGCACTCTGTTGGTGTAAAAATGTTCTAAAAGACGACGTTGAGGAACACAAAAGTGACCAGTGTGCAAAAAAAAGACGCACGTCTAGTAATAAAATCTGGTCCTCCAGAAATGTATGACATTGAACGCGATCTTTGTTTGAAATCTCAGGAAAGATGATAACTCTGGGAGCTGAAGACTGAGTAGCAAGTCTTTTATTTTGGCTCACTTTCTTCACCATCACAGAAGAAGTTGTGGGTAGATATGCGGATTTGGCGCTTTGGACCCCCTCTCAATCGACCACGACGCATTGCAATTTGCTTTGCAAATAAACGGATACGATGACGACCTCGCGAGTAATCAACTTTGGAGCTGGTCCCTCTACACTTCCTCAGTCTGTACTCGAGAAAGCCGCCCAAGGGCTGCTCAACTTCGAGGATACTGGTATCGGCATCGCCGAGATTTCGCATCGCTCAAAGGAGTTTGTCGCATTTATCTCCAACGTCGAAGCTCTCATTAGATCCCAGTTGAATGTCCCACCAACACACTCAATCCTTTTTACACAGGGAGGTGGAACTACGCAGTTCTCCGCCGTCGTGTTGAACCTCCTTGCGCGCCATAAGTTGCTCCATCCAGAGCTTACCGACGATGAGCGCGTCATGGACTATGTCCTCACTGGCTCGTGGAGTAAAAAGGCCTTTCTGGAAGCCAAGCGGCTTGGTGGTGCCCGCGCAAACATCGCGCTTGACGCACGCAAGTACTCCAAGGACGGGGTGTCCTTTGACAATGTACCGCCACACGACGAGTACGCATTCTCGCCTGCATCCGCACTCATCTACTACTGCGAGAACGAGACGATCGATGGTGTCCAGTTCTCGCCGGATCCCTCAGCACAAACATCCTTCCCCTTCACGATCCTACCGCGTGAGCGCAGCGGACTCCTCCCCCTCGTAGGGGACCACTCGTCCTCGTTCATGTCCCGCCCGATCCCGCATCTCAGCGAGCACGCCGTTATATTTGCAGGAGCGCAGAAGAACATAGGTCCTGCGGGGCTCACGGTCCTTATCGTGAGGCAGGACTGCCTCGTCGATGTAGACGCGGCGGCAAAGCTCGGCGCGACGCCTGTTCCGCTGTGTCTCTCCTACAAGACGCTCGCCGAAGGCAGAAGTCTGTACAATACCCCGTCGTTGCTCCCCATATACATAACTGGGCTCGTACTCGAGCGCATGCAGGAACTAGGCGGCCTGGCGTATTTCGAGGCACTCGGCCGAAGAAAGGCGGAAAAGGTATACGCGGCCGTAAGGGCTGGAGAGGAGCGTGGGGTTTTTCAAGGCAAGGTACAAGCGGGCTCATGCAGCTGGATGAACGTCATCTTCAATGTCCTCGGGAGCGGCGCAGAGTCACGCTTCCTTGCGGGTGCAGAGAAGGTGGGCATGAAAGGTTTAAAAGGTCACCGGTGAGATATTCGCTAGTCATGACAGTGCCCCGGACCATTAACATTATGAACACTGCACCGGCGATTTTAGGTCGGTCGGAGGTGTGTTAACTGCGGTTACTTCGGATTTTGAACGGCACTCATTCCGATACAGGCATTCGCGTGTCCCTGTATAATGCCGTCACGGAAGCTGATACGGACAAGCTGGTTGATTACATGAAGGAGTTCGTCTCTGAAGCGAGCTCCTTCTGTTCGGCGTAGGCGTGTATTGGTATCAGGTGTCAGATTATCAACCGTTTGTTTTGAGAGGAGAGAGTAGTAGAGAAAGCAGAGCTCAGAGAGGTGCCGGGCACGTAGATGAGTCGTTCGTGAATGTCAATAATTAATATGCAAATATTGAACATGTGCCCCATGGCTGAGTTGGTTACAGCGTCCGACTGTTATCCTTGTTGTTAATAATAGTAGGGAAAGCTTATCGGAAGGTCGTGAGTTCGAGCCTCACTGGGGCAGTTTATTTTTATTTTTCCCTTTTATTTTATTTTGTTTTATTTACTTGTAACAACTCAGCAAGCGAGGTAAGCGAGGTTTTCCACACTTGGGGAGAAACAAACAATAGTTTCACAACACTGTATTGCACACTGTATAGGAACAAGTTGTACAGAAATACCTAAGGCGAAGAGTGGCGTTGATACGTGTACACTTTATAAGGGAACTCGCAATGATGAAGAGAGGAATTCGGGACATCATAGATAGATGCAGTAGGGGGGAGAGATGAAATCGTGCAGCCAAGCCCGGGAAAAACACAATGCGCGAAATAAATATCAACACAACGAGCGAACGTACAAACAGCGAACGTGAAGTTGAATGGGCGTTGTACGATCAAGTACGAAAAGCGTTTGTTTGGTCGCAAAAAACGTGAGAACGAATGAAATGTGAAAAGATGGTAAGATAAATGCGATGATAGGATCACAGTCGATGGATGTTGAGTTGCAGGAAAGAGGAACGGGTGAATCCGGATTGCGAGAGGGCGAGGGATGATAATGAGAGAATCCGTTAGATGAATAGGGGAATGGTGACGTGATAAAAGGGGTTGCGATTAAAGGGGGACTTCTAAGTTGGGTCAATGTGACAACGCAACGCAACGCGATATGATATGTCAATGCATTGCTGGCCGGGCAGGTGTCATAGTCGGCATCAAGCCAAAGAATTGCACTCTCGATGGTGATGAAAACCGCGGTGGAGGCGTCGACGTGGCATTCAGTGGGGGGGAGACGAGAGGCACAAGTGGCTCTGCCCGATCTCTCGAGAGGGATATGGACTTACGCCGGCGGACGGGGCCGAGGCCTGGAGCGCGCATATATTCTGCAGATGCAAGTTGTGAGAGATCGGAGTCCCAGGGGTTTCCTAACGTAAGGGTGGGGTCGTCGAGAGCGGAAATCCAGGGAAGTGAATCAAAGTTAATCACACGGGGAGCGATGATGGCCTCCGCGCGAATATTGTGCCGCCGACGGCGAGGGGTGCGTGGAGGACAGCCCACTTGTCGTTTGATGGAACTGCAAGGCGTAGGGGATTGAGATGTCTGAAAAAAAAAAGAAAAAAAGGTCAAATCATCAGAAAAGTCGAATGGTCGATTGAAGATCTAACCAGAGAACGCTTGACACGTTTGTGGATACGGATTGGGGACATGAGGCGAGGAAGCTGGGCATTCTTTGGTGCGGCGGTGTGGCACTGTGCAAGGAAGTGTGAGTAGTTTATAAATCGTTTAGGAGAGGAAAAAAAACAAAAACCACTAACGATGAACGGATCGTCGAGGTTGATAGGCAACGTTGGCATTGATGGGTCAATAATTGTCGGTTGCGGAAGCAAACGGCGAGGTTGTGGTGCGATAATGGGAATCGGGGGCATTGTGGATCTTAGTAGACCGGTTGATTGCTAACAAAGTGACTTGGTTAAAGCCGGGGTGTGCGTGTGTGGTCGATAAGAAGTAAAGAGGTAGAAAAGGAGGGACTTGAGTTATATGGGTGAGGGGTGAGGGAGGGGAGAAGACAATGAAGGAGAATGAGTAAAAGTAAAGAAAGGATGCCGCATGTCATGTCAAAACGGCGCACGTTTTCGCCGCCTGTCTTTTGCTGACAAAGCATACCAAATATAACGAACAAAGGCGCGCCTCTGAGCCTCGTTTTACAGCGCCGCCCGGGCGCCCGAGTAAGACTACTACTATTTTCACCTTCTTTGGGTTATTGTCCGATGCGAACAATGACTCGCATGAGCATTACTCGCAACAACCCACACGGGGAAAATTGAAAGCCGAGTTCATAAAATGTTGCCCGCACCGAGGACGATATAACACCGCAATGATGAAGACGTGACAGGACTAGTGCACTCAAAGATGTGCATCCATAACATGCGCGAGTACATGTGCATCCATAATATGCACGCAGTAGAGAGGACGATATAACACCGCAATGATGAAGATGTGACAGGACTAGTGCACTCATAGATGTACATCCATAACATGCGCGAATACATGTACATCCATAACATGCGCGAATACATGTACATCCATAACATGTGCGAATACATGTACATCCATAACATGTGCGAGTACATGTGCATCCATTACATGCACGCAGTAGAGAGGACGCCATTTTTTTTTCATTTCGGTACAGCAGATTCTCTCTTCGCTGTCGCTGTCGGTGTACGAGTCGAGTACGAGGATCGATTGTGTAATCATGACGTGAGTCACTCAGATTCGGAATATCGCACCGTGTTAAGAGAAAAAGAAAAAGATGCACTTTTGATGGATGGTTAGATGATGATGCAGTAGAGAGACAACAAATTAAGGGAAAGGGAAGAAAATGAACGTGAGAGCGTAATACAGAGGAAAGTGACGACAATATTTTTTAATTTTTTTTTACAAAACCCCTTCAAATCGTCAAGTCCACACACTTTTTAATCAATCTCTTCCATTGCAGACGAAGAAGCGCCTTCTGCTGCGGCAGGAGCCGCATCCTCGCCAGCAGGCGCTGACTCCTCTTCTTCGTCAACGTCAAGACCAAGTCTGATTCAATCACAATCTTATTAAGATTTCGCCATTCAGAGTTGGTGAACCACTTACGCTATCATGCGATTAATCCGCTTTGCAAAGGATGTCGGCTCCTCGAGCGAGAAGCCAGAGGTGAGAAGAGCCGTCTCGAACAAGAGATATGTGAGATCCCGGACAGACTTGTCCGCTTTGTCCTCGGAGACTTTACGCTTGAGCTCCTTGACAATAGGATGCTTGGGGTTCAGCTCCAGTGTCTTCTTTGATGCCATGTAAGACGACATTGAAGTGTCACGAAGAGCCTGAGCCTTCATGATACGCTCCTATGGATAAAGTAATTCATCAGATTCCAAGGTACATACATAGGCGACAAGAACCCACCATATTCGATGACCAACCAAATTGTCCAGTAACCAGGACGCAAGGTGAGTCCGAGATGCGGTTCGAAACAACGACCTTTTCAACCTTATCACCGAGCGCATCCTTGATAACCTTGCACAAGTCCTCGTAAGATTTGGCCTCCTCTTCGCGTGCTTTCTTCTCGTCATCCGTCTCCTCGAGCTCCAAGCCCTCTTTCGAGACGGATTCAAGCTTGTGGCCATCGAACTCCTTCAGTTGTGACACCGCATACTCATCGATCGGGTCCACTAGCAATAAAACCTCGAAGCCCTTTTTCCTAAGGACTTCCAGGAAAGGAGAGTCTTTGATGGCAGCGAGGGATTCACCAGTGAGATAATAAATGGCCTTTTGCCCTGAAGGCATGCGTGTGATGTAGTCTGGAGATCAAATATGAGCATAAGACCCGCCTGCGCGACGTGTAAAACACACCTTTAAGAGTGATTGTATCGTCAACAGCCTTGGTCGAGTGGAAGTGTAGAAATTCGGCAAGTTTGCTGCGGTTCTGAGCGTCTTCATGAATCCCGAGCTTGATGTTTTTGCCGAATGCCTCGTAGAATTTCTGTAAGTTGTCTTTGTCCTCCGCGATCTCTGAGAACAGATCCAGGCACTTCTTAACGATGTGCTTGCGGATGACTTTAAGAATCTTGTTCTGCTGCAGCGTCTCGCGTGAAATGTTAAGTGGCAAATCCTCCGAATCAACAATGCCTTTGACGAAGTTAAGATACTCCGGAATGAGGTCTTCGCAGTCGTCCATGATGAACACTCGGCGGACGTAGAGTTTGATGTTATTACGCTTCTTCTTGCTCTCGAAGAGATCGAATGGCGCGCTAAACAGACATGTTAGACAACGGCGCGTAAGGCATCAGGACGACGTACCGTTTCGGGACGTAGAGAATTGCCTTGAATTCGAGTTGACCCTCAACGGAGAAATGTTTGACAGCAAGATGGTCCTCCCAGTCATTGGTGAGCGACTTGTAGAAGGAACCGTATTCCTCTTGGGTGATGTCATTCGGGTTACGAGTCCAAATAGGCTTGGTCTTATTAAGCTCCTCGTTGACCTTACTCTGTTCCTTGATCGTCTTTTTTTTCTTGTCCTTGTCCTTGTCATCGTCCTCATCCTCAACCTCCTCCACCTTGGACTTTGCCTCTTCTTCTTTGGCTTCTTCCCCTGCCTCTTCCTCGTCATCCTCAACCTCCTACAACGCGTGACCCGATGTCAACGTTCGAAATAGTGGAGACAACGATAATAGAGCGAACCTTCTCGACCTCTTTGGTGACAACGAGTTGGATAGGGTAGGAAATGAACTCAGAGTGCTTCTTAACGGTATCCTTGATACGTTTCTCTTCGAGGTACTCGGTCTGATCTTCCTTGAGGTAAAGGCGGACCTCAGTGCCACGACCGAGAGGTGGGTTTATTGTGTCGAGAGTGATGGTGAAAGTGCCACCTGCGGCAGACTCCCAGATGTATTGTTCGTCGTCATTATGTTTTGAGATGACTTGAACGCGCTCCGCAATAAGGTAAGCGGAATAGAAGCCGACACCAAACTGGCCAATCATGGAGATATCAGCGCCAGAGCTAAGCGCTTCCATGAAGCCCTGAACAATGTGAGTAAGAAGGAGAGGTTAGATGAAAGTGCACATATAATACCTTTGTACCGGACTTAGCGATGGTACCGAGGTTGTTAACCATGTCAGCTTTGGTCATACCGACACCACTATCGCGGATAGAAAGGATCTTATTATCTTTGTCCGGGATGATGCGGATGAAGAGTTCCTTCTCGGAATCGAGAACGGAGGGATCGGTGAGGGAAGAATAGCGAATTTTGTCAAGAGCATCAGAACCGTTGGAGATGAGTTCACGAAGGAAAATCTCCTTGTTGGAGTAAAAGGTATCTAAGTGATCAAGCGAGTTAGTTAGATAAACAGAATATAGATAACAGTGTGCTTACTGATGATCAAGTCTAGCAACTGAGATATCTCAGCTTGGAAGCCAAAGCTCTCCGGTTCTGGTGCAGACATTTTTCACGGACGACGAACAGGCAAGGTGGGGGGCTGATGAGGATGAAGG